TGAGTCACAAAGCAGGATCTCCCGCCACACGTGGCATCCAAGTGAGCGGGTTAGGTGAAAAACCATGACACACCATGCCGCACCCCTACGTTGCACTCTCTGGTCCCTATACCCCATTTTCTATAACCGCCCAAGCTGTTCGAGAAGGTCTGCCGCCCCCGGCCCAGAGAAGCACCGACCTGCCGCCCGCGTAGCCTCGCAGCGCCACAGTGTATGAATGTGTATGGGCTTCTTGCCGGTAGGTTATTGATTCTGGTTGCTGGATACTTTGCTGTGTGCAGGAGACATGGCAAGTCTCAGAAATGCAGGCTGTCCCGAAGGCCTTGGACGCCGCAGCGGACGACTCCTTTGTCGATCTTGCCTCCGCAGCTCCTGCCTGTGGCTACATGAGGCAGGGCATGGCATGGCCACGTTGTGATGCTCAAGTGGGCAAGGCTACTGATTAGTCTCACGAACAACAGAGCTTTCAACATTTCTTGTGATTCGCAGGTGCACTTGCCATGGCATTACGTGCTGCACGAGCCCCAGGCAGATTGAACGAGTCGTTTTGGCATGCTCGACCATCACTCGAGCTTTGGCACCGCCTGCCAGTCATGGGGCCCAACAAGTCGGCAGCAACAGCATGCCAACTTTTCAGTAGGCAGTTGGCTTTGAGCTGATAAAGTCGACGGAAAAAGTCGCAGCCTTGCTCAGCGGATTCTCGCTGCTTCGCTTCTTTCGTTGTGTGTTTGTCCACATTTTGACTCAATGCGTCTGCGCAGTACCTGCACATCGTTCTCTGCTCGTGATGGCACCACTTCGTGGCCATCTGGATAGAGGAAGATTGCGGCGCGGTAGACTGCAAAGGGACAGTCTTGTTTGGTTGCTTTTGTGCTTGGCCTCACAACCACGAGCGAGTCTGGCGTGCTCGCCTCGGGCTGCCACAAAGTGAGACTCGCTGGCGCCGTGGAAACCGTAGTGACCATCGGCCCACTCACTGACGCATGCCTCCATCATTCATCTTGCCCACCTGACATGTCTCGCCTACGCTGGTGCTCATGCAGAGAGCCGTTGTTAAGGCCTCCGTCTTCACGTGTTTCCTCCCCGGACTTACAATGAGGTCAGTCGCAGTCACTCTTCCATCGGCCGTCCGTTCCAGAGCACCAAGCTTCTGCCAGACGCCCTCAATCGTTGTCAGTCTTCGGTCGACATCATGGACCTCCCGATCCAGATCATCAAGTTTCTGCAGATCTCTCCAGCATCTGCAAGATGTGTGTCGGTGGGTGCGTCTGCAGAACCCAGTCATTCCTAGCCAGTGCTGCGACTACCATACGTTGCGTTGCTGGATGAGAAAGCGCTGAGTCACCGAGGAGAAGCAAGACATGCCCCAAAGGTTAGAGCTCGTGGCCTGGCGCTGCAGCAGCCGCTTCGGCCGCTGCGCACTCGCCTCCAACCAAAGGTGGTAAGTTTCCAAGGGCCGTCGGGTCAAGACAGTAATGCGTGGATGGACGAGTGCTCAATACAAACTGATGCTCAGCCGCAGTCCTGCAGTCTTGGCAGCCGATGAGCTGTCGTCAACAGCTGGCGCAGGGACATCTCCACCTCGCTGTTAACCGTCATATGAGGAGCGGGTAATGATCGAAGGTGTGCGATCACAAAGAGACGGCTAATGCCCCAGGACATAAGCAGCCCATGCCAACAGCGAAACTGATTGGGGAAGATGCCGTCATCTTGCTCGGCATCTTCTGGCACCGCATCACCCTGGTCGCTGGCGCCTGCACAGACAAAGAACACGGCACACATGCTCACCTGCCTACCACTGCACTCAGAACTATGCCCTCTGCGCTTCTGCCTCCTTTTTGACTGAAGCAATCTTCGCGCCACTGATTCCGGGCCTTGCAGCGGAGCCTTCTCAGTGCCGCTGACGTTGGGCACGCGAGTCTTCTTGGGAGGGCCTCTCATCAAGCAACGAAACCCAAAGCCATGTCCGAACAGGAGTTCTGCCGTCCTTCATCTTCCTTAGCTACCATCACAGGCAGATCGGTGCCCTGTCCTGGAGTGGCCGCCTTCTTCTTGGGAGCCGGCCTCCATAAGTGCATTCCACACGCTGCTCTGTTTCAGAAAGGGGGAGACTATCATTCAAGGTTCAAGACCAGAAAAATATCTATAGCCTCTTGGGACGGCGGCCCCGCGGTGAGTCTGGCGAAGCTTCATAATCCTTGAAGGTGCTGGGCTTTGAGATTCAGGCCCCATCCCAGCGACATAGTCCGGTGCCTCGTCCACTGTCTCCCGCACAAAGAAGCCATATCCACCAGGAGCCGGCCTGGCCAGGATGGAGAGAAGTATTTTGACCACGACATCCCAAACTCGGCTCCAGACCTTCGCGCCGACAGTGGCACAGCCGGCGGTCTGGCTGGTACCTTGCACACGTGCGTCTCCAGAATCCCAGAAGCCTAGAATCTTAGATCATGCAAGAAGGACTAGAACATACAAAGAAGGACGCTCAGCCAGCCAGAGCTAGCCTTCTTGGGCATATTCTCGACCACCAGATATGCGTGCCTGGATGAGAGCTGCACAGCCAGTCAGCCAAAACATCTGAAGCTCTTCACGGGACAACGCAGTTCATTGCCAGAATCCCCAAGGTCTTCACTCATCGCCATCTTCATCGACGAGAACCTCACACTATTGACTGACAAGCTGACTTCAGTTGAAGCCCAGAAGCTTGCCCAGCCCATGATCGCAGCACGTTCTCAAGCTGAGAAGAGAACTGGCGTGTCTGCGGTCCTGCTCGTGATTTGGGAGGTGGCGCATCGCGTGATAGCAGCGCGCAGAGCAAGGCGCCTGGGCGAGGCCTGCACAAAGGTCGATGAGCCATCCTCGAATCGCCAGGAAGCCACAAGCAGCAAGCCCATCATGATGGCTGTGGTAGCGGTGATGGCGGCGGCATCTAGGTGCCCTCGCAGGGAACATCACCTTGAACTTCGGAACGGTTCCATGAGCCTGTCGAGCAGGAGTTCGAAGAAAACATGGCAGCATCCTGAACAAATCGAGTGCTTCAAAGCCCATCTCGGCTCGAGGCCTCCTGAAACTGCCAATACAGAGGGTCGCAAAAGTCGTCCTGACAATGCTTTGACAAAGGCATTTATGCGCTATCCGCAATGTTATCCTTAAATGCTTAAAGCGTAGAACTTTCTTGGATTCTTCATGTTCGGACCTAGGTCGTTTTTGAGAATGGCTCTTTTCCGGGGCCATCGATGCCTTAATGGGCGATCTCGTCCAGTAAAAGTTAACAGTTGCTGTCCTGCACTTGTCTGACCACGTTGGGATTGAATGTTAGTGGTCGCTCAGATGTATGTGTAGCCGCATCTACATCGTAGTTCTTCCCTATATATATATATATATATGTTTTCTCTGTATATATACATACATTCTAGGTGATATTATCAGTGTGTGATACTAGTAATACACACAGTCCAAATACACATCGCTGCATCCCGCGGCTCCGGAGCGCCTCGGAGGCCTGAGCTAAGAGGCCCGTCCTCGGAAGCATGGGTGTCTCAGAGGCTTAAAGGACAGGATCTATCTTTCGTTCTTTAAGGTGCACTGAAGTGCACTGTTGACTGGTTGTTGCGTTCACCCCCGCTTGCGCACTGAGTGTTTTAGAGATTCGGTCGAATGCTTATGCTTGGGATTGCCTGCGTCAAGTTCCAGAGTGAGCGGTATCAAGTCATGGTGCGCTGGACAACGTTGCAAAGCTCCGGACAGATCTCCGTCATCAAAGTTGACCGAGATCTTGGCCCAGAGCAGAACCCAGATGATACCAAGCGGGCTAGCCAAGCGTTGAGAAGGCCACTTGCCCCCAGGTTGCTCAGGCAAAGACGTAGGTCCCCGCTGTCAATGGCAGTGAGCCAGAGCCGGAAGCAACGGCACCAGGTTCGCTCGGCACCTTCATTTTGCCATATCCATGCGCACCAGCGCAGCAGACAATGGCACTAACATGAAGATCAGGGCTACTCTCCACCCCTCCCACCATCCCCGTCGTTGCAATCAGAAAAATGGGGCTTTTGGAAGGCACATGGTGGCGTGCAGGCTGACGTCCGATGCTTGTGAACTTAACAGCCGGCTCGTTGTGGTGACAGCTTCATCACCGTGTATTGTCATCCTCCGTTAGCTAGTCCTGTCTTGCAGACTCGGATGTCTGCACCTCATCTGCGCAGCTCATCCGCCTTAACTTCACCTTGGTCTTACAATGCTGATACTCATTAGCACTGAACATCGGACGTACATTTGGATGTATTTGGATGCAAGCGTGCCACCTTGGGGCAGGAGCTTGCGGCAGCATGAGAGCGGCCAGTCTTCAACGGTGTTGCAAATTGTGATTCTGGGCAAGTTGGCTGTGGACTAACGTTCTTTTATTGGAGTTGTTGTGAGTCTGCGTGGCGATCCTTCTGACCTTGGGTCGGGCAAAGCAGATAGGGCGGGTGCCATGCTTGATTGCTTTGCTGAGCACGCTGCGCATGGAAGAGTCGCACGCGCAGGGAGCAAGGGAGGTAATTTGGTTGGAGAAGACGTGGATAGTGGCACGGAAAAGCAGCAGAAGCTCCATGCAGTGCAGGTTCATGCTAGCCCCGCTGCTACTATGAACGCTATGTTGAATTTGCCGACAGCAGGCGCATGCCGTGAACGCAGGCAAAGCCTAGTCAACGTCCACTGAGCTGGACTGCGACATACTATGTACATTGGATCGCATTGCCGATCTCGGCGATGTGATCATGTGAGTCCGGCGCGAGAGACATGTCACGCGACTCAGTACTGCAAGCCCGTCGAAATCTCTTCGACTTGGCAGCGAAATGTAGTGTTCTCACCCGTCCTTAGTCAGTTTATACTGGGCAGACATGCCACAATTCATGGCCATGCAACTTGAAACGCAAACGGTTGCAGTTGCACAGCCTGTCAAAATGCGTCACGCTGTGGCTTCGCCAGCCAGCTCACTTTCAGCAATGGTAGTAAGAGTTAGTAAGATTTAGCAAGCAAGAGGTTGGTTGCAGCAACCACGAGCAGATGAGCAAGGGCTCCGGCCACTGCCACTGATCAACCACTAGACGCGCCTAAGTCCAGCGGTCTCAAGACTTCGTGGAGGCTTCGGGGCTCGAGGATGCCGGTTGTAAATTCACAGGACTGCAATGAACTGCTGGCGCGTGCGTTGTCGTCGTAGCCGCCAAACAGCACAAAGGAGAAGTCTGAGATCCTGGGCGCTTTGGCGAGGGCATGATATGGTAACTTCAGCATCTTCCAGCTGGAATCTGGAATTCTAAGCCACACACGTTGGGGCAATCACCGCAGCGAACTGGCAGAACCAAGGTAATTCTTGTCAAGCCAAGTCAACACTGCAGCGTGAGCATCCATGGCCCAAGTTCTTAGCTTTGGCCTGCGCTCTGGCAGAGAATGGCGCTGTTGGTGCTATCTGAGTCCACTGGCCCCAATTCGAAAGATCCTGCAGCAGGATGCGAAAAGGAGCAGAGCATTCTGCTCAGCATTTGCCACCAGAAGCGTTGAATTCTTTTCGCGTGCTAGATCATTTTTGCACAATATGCAACGGCGCGTCAGCATTGCCACGTACAAAAGCAAGTGTGCGCAGGCCTTGTTCCCACACCAGATGTCGTTTCGCGGGCTCGGACGGTCAGCTGGATCCTGCGCTTTTGGAGGGCCACAAATGTCTTTCAGGTTGGCAAACGCTCGGCAAACACAGGCTCTGGCAACCTGCTCGCTCTACATGTCTGTGCTGTCTAGTTGTAAGAAGTGTCCGAAATGGCATGCATCATATGCATGATATGACGCCAAGCCTGCTTGGTACTCAGCTGCCTACGGGCAATCAAGTGCAGCCATGCGCAGGCTTCAAACATGGGCAGATGTCCGGTTCTTTTGCGCGGACAACTTCACCTTGGACACTGAAGGAACTGATCAATGTCTCATGTCTCGAAGCTTCTCCCTTCACGCAAACCGCATGCCCGCATATGATCGCATGTGCCCATCAACCTGCAGCGTTCTTTGAAAAGGAATTCCGCGCTGGGCTAGACACCACTGTCTGGCTCCCCGCCGAAGCCTCCAATAAGCAGGACCTAAGTACCGAGAAGTTTTTGAATGTTTTCGAGGCACCTTCTCAAGGCGCAGAAGGCACGTATTTGTTGAACTTGTTCCGATGTGGTTCTTATCAGTTCTCATCTGTGAGATGTGGCGCGCCCGGTCAAGCTGAGATCTCCCGCCCTAGCAAAAACACCTGACAAAAATGCTTGGCTTGCGGCCGTATCCACGTCTGCACTCCCAGGAGTCACAAACCCAACCTCAAGCGAGAACCCGTCTCAGGAGTCTTTCATTCGAAAGGGTCTTCTCCATTCAAAATATTCTCCACAACTCAGGCTCGAGCCAACCTATGGCCGTGCCGTGGGAACCAAGCAGCCTGTGGCGTAAGCTGCGTCCAGGTTCCCTGGCACCGAGCCGGCAGCTAAACTGCAAATCAAACCTCTCGACTCCTTCCGGCCTCTTTGAAGCTTTCCACAACTGCTGCGCATGTTCACACGACCCACCACTACAACTACTACAAGCAACAAAAGAGTTTCGTTGTTGCGCCTGAGTCTAATGAGCAATCAGCAAACAGCCCCACCTGCCACTGAGCGCTGCAAAAGTCGCCCGAGTGCTGCCACACCCTCGGGATGGGGGATTGTGCACTACTCCCGCCACTCCCCCCTCACTCCCCCACTTCCCCCCTCTGCCAGTCTCTCCCACTCCCCCACTTCCCCACTCCCTCACTCCCTCACCCACGCACTCCCTCACCCAGCTCCCCCACTCCCCCACTCCCCCACCCTCACTTTCCACTCTCCCCCCCACTCCCCCACTTCCCCCTTCACTCCCCTACTTCCCCTACTTCCCTACTTCCCCTACTTCCCCTACTTCCCCTACTTCCCCTACTTCCCCTACTAACCCTACTTCCCCTACTTCCCCTATTCCCCCACTCCTCCACTCCCACTCCTCCACTCCTCTCCCCCTCCTCCCATACAGGGATGTTGACGTATACTGCGCAGTACATCGCGGTCGTCGAAGTACTGAAAGTCATCGTGCTTATTCATGACAAGCACAACGATTCTTGCTCGCCTCGTCTTCGCGGGGGAATTCGGAAGCTTCGGCTAGCTCAGGCTATCGTAGGAGCCCTTTCTTTCAGAGGGGCCCTTGCAGGCCATGTCATCCCGACTCAGCTCACGGGGCAGTGCCCGTAGCGAGTGAAACACTGGGATACGGTTTTCGCATTCCGCGTGCTCTTCCAGAGCTACGAGGATTCCGGCGATGTAGACAGTGAACCATTGAAAAAAGGAAAAGGAAGACTTCGATCACTCTGCGACCCAAACGATCCAAACTTATGGGTTCAGAGTACCTCGATTGCTCAAGACGTTGATAGGGACCTGAATGTAAGCCTTGCCGCTGGCATCAGGTTCGGGCATGCGGCCAGCGCGAATGTTCAGCTGAACTGAGGGGATGAGAAGCTTCGGCACGGCGAGCTGAGCATCCCGGCTTTCACCTTCGAGCGCAAACTTGGCGTAAGAAAAAGTACATTTGTTCACCTGAATTACTAGCCTTAAGCCCCAACAGCATCAGCAGGCCGTCACGCAGCAAGGCACGCATCGAGACGAAGTCCTCCTCCGTCTTGCCAGATCCAACATGAATGTTGTTCCGACGCTGCTCGCCAATAGTCGTCTCCCATGCAAACTCAGATCGGACTCCTTTAGGCAAGTAGTCGTGGCCAACAAACACGCGAGTCTCTGCTGGAAGCGCGAGGAGCTTCTGGATAGACTGGTAAAGCGTCTTGGAGCTGCCCCCCGGAAAGTCGCACCGGGCGGTGCCGTAATCTGGCATGAACAAAGTGTCACCCGTAAACACGGCATCGCCCATATGATAGCACACGCATGCTGGCGTATGACCGGGGGTGTGAAGCACTGCGACTGGCATTCCACCAATCTTGAACGTCTCGCCATCCTGGAAGAGCTTGTCGAATTGCGAGCCGTCCGTCTGGAAGTCGGGTCCCAAGCCGAAGACACCTGCAAACGTCTGTTGGACGAGCTTAATATTCTCGCCGATAGCGATCTTGCCTCCCAGCTGCTGTTGAATGTATGGTGCTGCCGAAAGATGGTCGGCATGAGCATGGGTCTCGAGCAGCCATTCCAGCTCAAGTCCGTGCCGCTTGATGAACTCGACGATCTGGTCAGCGTGCTTCGTGCTGGTGCTTCCTGAGGAGTAGTCGAAGCCCATGACTGAATCGATGACCGCAACTTTCCGACTGCTCGGATCTCGGACCACTGCAGAGACGGTATGCGTCTCCTCCTCATAGAAAACCATGACATCAGGACTGACTTGCGCAATCTCATCCTCTCTTTTGGCTGGCCTCTCGCCTTTACACAGACAGGACAAGCTCTGCAGAAACGACATGGCACCAAAGAGCTAGTTGAACCCTCTCTCTAGCTCTTGTCCAAATTTAAAAGATGCCTTGAGGAGGCGCGCATGCGGTCTCAAGATGTTGCAAGCTGACGGCGCACTCTGTGACTTCTGGAGGTGGGCACTTTGGAGTCAGTCGGACAACCCGTTTCTGAATGTCTGTATGGTGCGCATTGCCTGCGCAACCCCTCAGAAACGACATGAACCGATTAGCTTCACAGTCGCCGATTCAGAGTAAGCTGGGACACGTGCCAAACATCGTTCTGATAGCCAAGTGCCGATCGACCTCCATGAGTTGCCAGCGACTATCACATGACCCCGTGGGGAATCTAATCAAATCCCATCCATTTCTGCAATCGCATGGCTCACAAAGGAAGCACAAGAAGCCGTCAGCACAGATCAAACTTAGAACGCACTTGAAAGAGAGGAAGCATTCTCGAAATTAAGGACAAAACTTCCAGATGCTGCACATGTAGCGCCAGGTTTTGGGTGCGAAGATGCTTTTCATACTGGAGCTCGACCGCTCAGCTCATGCATGGGGCACGCGCCCACACGCCTCCAGCAAGGATGACCTGATTGGGCAGGAGGACTTGGGCCTGTGCCCTGATTCACAGAGACTTCAACCTCAAAGCATTGGACATCTGCATACTAACGTCTATCCTGTTCGCAGTTGGTCAATCTGGGTCCATTCATGACATCTTGGGAAGCTGCGCCACTTGCAGTCCAAACTGCCCCTGGCTCCTGGACATCTTTGCGGACGCTCGTTGCTACACGTTTTGGGCGCAGGGACTGTTGCAGAAGCATGGCTAGAGCGTGAGATAAAGTCTTTCAGACTTTCATGTGCTGCCAGTTTGTCCATGGGTGGTGAGGTTGAGGGTCACAGGAAACCTCCTCTGCTCACGAGTTCAGACTTCAGGTCTTTTCCGAGACAGAGAGAGAGAGACAGAGAGAGAGAGAGTGTGTGTGTGTGTGTGTGTGTCTGTGTCTGTGTCTGTGTCTGTGTCTGTGTCTGTGTCTGTGTCTGTGTCTGTGTCTGTGTCTGTGTGTCTGTGTCTGTGTCTGTGTCTGTGTCTGTGTCTGTGTCTGTGTCTGTGTCTGTGTCTGTGTCTGTGTCTGTGTCTGTGTCTGTGTCTGTGTCTGTGTCTGTGTCTGTGTCTGTGTCTGTGTCTGTGTCTGTGTCTGTGTCTGTGTCTGTGTCTGTGTCTGTGTCTGTGTCTGTCCTTGTGTGTCCCTGTGTGTGTCCCGTGTGTGTCCCGTAGTGGTCCCCTGTGTGTCCGTGTGTGTGTGTGTGTCCGTGTGTTCCGTTGTGTGCTGTGTGTGTCCGTGTGTGTCCGTGTGTGGTTGTGTGTCGTGTGTGTGTGTGTGGTGTGTGTCCGTGTGTGTCGTGTGTAAGTCCGTGTGTGTCCGTGTGTGTCCGTGTGTGTGTGTGTGTGTGTGTAGTGTGTGTGTGTGTGTGTAAGTGTGTGTGTCCGTGTGTGTCCGTGTGTGTCCGTGTGTGTCGTGTTGTCCGTGTAGTCCGTGTGTGTCAGTGTGTGTCGTGTGTGGTGTGTGTCCGTGTGTGTCCGTGTGTGTCCGTGTGTGTCCGTGTGTGTCCGTGGTGTGTCCGTGTGTGTCCGTGTGTGTGTCCGTGTGTGTCCGTGTGTGTCCGTGGTGTGTCCGTGTGTGTCCCGTGTGTGTCCTGTGTGTGTCCGTGTGTGTGGTCGTGTGTCCGTGTGTCCGTGTGTGTCAGTGTGTGTCCGTGTGTGTTTGTGTCCGTGTGTGTCCGTGTGTGTGTCCGTGTGTGTCCGTGTGTGTGTGTGTGTGTCCGTGTGTGTGTGTGTGTCCGTGTGTGTCCGTTGTGTGTGCGTGTGTGTGTGTGTCCGTGTGTGTCCGTGTGTGTGTGCGGTGTGTGGTGTGTGTGTGTGTGTCCGTGTGGGTGTGTGTGTGTGTGTGTGTGTGTGGGTGTGTGTGTGTGTGTGTGTGGTGTGGGTGTGTGTGTTGTGTGTGTGTGTGTGTTTGTGTGGTGTGTGTTTTGTGTTGTGTGTTGTGTGTTGTGTGTTGTGTGTTGTGTGTTGTGTGTTGTGTGTTGTGTGTTGTGTGTTGTGTGTTGTGTGTTGTGTGTTGTGTGTTGTGTGTTGTGAGTTGTGTTGTGTTGTGTTGTGTTGTGTTGTGTTGTGTTGTGTGTGGGTGTGTGTGTGTGTGTTGTGTGTGTGTGTGTTGTGTGTGTGTGTGGTGTGTGTGTGTGTTGTGTGTGTGTGTGTGGTGTGTGTGTGTGTGTTTTGTGTCTGGTGTGGTGTGTTTTTTTGTGTGTGTTTTTTCGTGTGTGTCCGAAACCGCACCCTGCAAGCCCGAAAGACGCTGCTCCCCACATGACTGACATCGGTCCGATCGTGGAGCCCAGGGCGCGTCCCTGGGTGGGCAGCATGGAAGCATGGAAGCTCTCGCTGCGCTTGTCTGCTCTGGACATCTCAGCTGGCAGCAGGAGTTGAGCCCACTGGCCATAGATTGAAGAGCTGCTGCACCTTGGCTGAGCACGCCACCGCTTTGCTGGCACTGCTGAGCACAGGGTCTCTTGCGCACTGGCCAGAACACGGCCCAAACGGTCAGGCAAGTTCATATGTGGATTGCGGATAATTGGTGCGTGAACTCTCGGGTCAGCGCGCGTAGCTGCACTCCAGGCCGAATCTGACAAAACTTGCATCTTGACTACTCATCTGCGCTATCAGAGAAAATGGCATTCCACGCTACCGGGCTGTGACTTGGTTGAGGCACTCAGCCGTTGCGAGCCGAGAAACAAAAAGTGAGGCTTAAAAGAGCAATGATTTCGGCCCTCACCCCCCACCACCCTGCACCTGGCAGCTTCCAGCGGCTGCATATCCTCCAGGAGGGTGCACTTCCTGCACAACAAAGATAAAACTCTCAGCCTCGATCATCTTGCTTATCAGGCTCTGCAAGGGGTTCTGCCATCACTCTACAAGACGCCATAGCACGCCGTCGTGCGCTGGTCCGTGGCTAGTTATGGTTATAGCATACGATCAAAAAGCCAAGCATAACTACAAGCTATTCCCAGAACAACAAACTCACAGTCCAAGCAGTGTAGCAACATGTCGCGACACGTGCAAACAAAATGCAGTGACAAAAGTTGCCTATGTACAGTACCGATGCTTGAAATGGGGGGTGGGGGTAGTGGAGGGAGGTGTCTGTCAGAAGAAGAACCTCTTACGCAGAAGCAAATCCCCCCTGTGTGGGCTGTCTACTGTAGGCCCTTGAGGCCTGGGAGTCCAACGCCAAACATCGTTCAGCAGGCCAGGTTCCCCTGAAGACAGAGCAGTGTCGATTAAGAAGTGGGACATCTTGTGTGAGCCAGGCCTACTCCGCCCATGAGAAGAATGTCCTCAGGATTACACGTTTGGTACCCCGACTTGCGAGAGCCGCGGTAGTAGTCCGCACTCACGTTTTGGACTCTGGCGGAATCGATGGCATGCAGGTCTCCGAGGCACTTCGCACCGGAAACAAAAGCAAGACTTGCGAAAATTGGGCACCTCGGCTTTCTCTCTTGACTCTCTTGTGACATGGCAAAGGACATCCTAGCTGGATTTTGAAGGGCTCATGTGAGAAGTCCATGCGCCGGAAAAGATCGCAAACAGTTGGCGGAATTTGCATCAATGGGCCCCAGAACCGTGGCATTTCCTTGGCCATGCTGAAAAATTGTAGCAAACTGGGCACCTGCTTCCTCGGTTAGAGGCGGTGTGTCTTCCAGTTCTTCCAAACACATCACAGTAAGGCAATATATGGCTGTCACAGCCATTTACAGCCACCTTAGAAGGTCCCCAGCCAGCTTTAAGCCCTAAACCTCTTCAACCATGTTCAGCCATGTTCAACCATCTTGCCTTAAACCAACCCTCTTTTCAGCCTATTTCTTTGTCTTCCACCTTCTAAGAAGCCCAAAAGGCCTCAGCCGCGGCCCGGGCAGCACTCAAAGCCTGTGAGTCGGTCCCGCGCGCAGCGCCCTGGGCAAAGGCCCTCGGCTGCAGGGCCCTACCCCCCCGTGATCCCCCCGTGTCTTCAATCAGAGGTTTGCCTGCCACCTGCAGGATCCTACAAGATCAGGGGGGTGCTGTAGGAATTTTGCTGGCAAGGCTGTCCGAATGTCTGTTCTGACTTGCAGGGCATGGTGCGGAACTGAAGACTCCAACCGTGCAAGAGCAAGACACTCGTGGATGTACATGATGCATGTATGCATGAACGAACCACACCAACCCTCTGTGCCTAAGTTTCGCACGCGCGGCCAAGCTGCAAAGTGAGTTCGTGCGGATCCCTGAGGTTTCGATTTAATGCTTGCCAGGATGCGGCTTGCCGCCCCCCTTGCCGCCCACGGCATCAAGTGCAGCCTCAACCAAGTGAACATGCAATCGGTAGGCCAGTGAAATTGAACTCAAATCTCTGGACAGGCCTTGACCCAGGCACCAGCTGGCTTAGAAGCCTGCCAGGTCAGCCACGAGGACTGGAGGTTCAACTCGCCAAGGAATGGCAGTTCGTCGTGCAAACTCAATCGAGATTGAAGCAGACCAAGCCCTGACCACTCACCGCTGGTCTCCTGGAGAGAGGATGGAACAGCTGCTAGGCAGTCGACTGCCCCATCACCTCAACAGGCAATGTCGCACAGTCAGTCCTAATATGTTCACAGTTACTTGCTGCATGGCGAAGAATTTAACACTTCGAGCAGAACCCATCACCCCAAACCTTCAGAGCATTCAAGAGATCAGGCGAATGCCCGTTCTGCCAAATGAAAGGCACTTCTCCAGAAAAGCAGAGTTCTTCGGCGGCCCAAGTGACTAGGCTGGTTCAACACCAAGACGGCCAAGGACTCCATCTCTGGCTCCGAAGCCAGGTCCCGCAGCATCTTGCCATCCACTCCTGTGGAACGCTTGCTGGAACCTCTTGAGCGATTCCTTCCAACCACATGAACACATGGAGCATTCGCGCGTGGGCAATCCAAGAGAAACTCCCGTTTATGGTACATGCATCCGAACCTCTATCATGAGAGGGGTTGGCCAGTAAGCAGCCCGTAACACTCTTGGCAAAACATGGCATCGGTCATGGCTGGCAGGCCTGAGCCTTCGAATGTCGCAACGCAGAAGTCAGCACCTGCACTTCTCGCTGCCTCGATGGCCTGTGGGCATGAACTGTTTCTTAAGTACCCGAATAGGGTTACAATTGGGTTATAAGTACAGTTATGATTGGTTTACCGAGTACCATGAACCCTCAAGCTTGCTAGCTACGAGTATCCACAAGACCATTCCCTTGCATTCTTGGCACGCTTCCCAGTGCAAGTCGCAGGGCATCCAGCCTGTCGCAACTCGGCCAAGAAAGCAGCCTGGTCCTCTTTGCTCACCTTACCCTTCTTCTTCTTTTGCTTTTTCTTCAACCTTGGTTACAGCAGCTGATCCGAGCCCAAAATGAAAGGCTTGGGCTGGAAAAGCTCAGACCTCAAACTCCACCTGCTCCACAACATTATGGGCCCTTTTAATATCCTGAACGTTCAGGCATCACACAGGTTTATACATATATTTATATGTATATATATATATATGTGTGTGTGTGTATGTATATACCTATATACATATGATACGTATATGTATATATATATATGTACACATATGTATGTATATATAGCAGTGGAAGTTTTCTAGGCTGGGAGAACCCACAGCCCATAACTTTAGATCAACCCCCCGAAGGTGAAAAGGCTTGATTGCTTCTTGGCAGCTGCTTGCGAAGCTGCCCCAAGCGATCACGCAAGGCTGCCTCTCGGGACTTTTGAAGGCGCAGTTGACGAATTCCGTGGCTGTTTTGTGCATCGAAATACAGGCTGATAGAATGTGTGTGACCTTACATCTTATACTACTTGTACATGTATGTATAATCTCGCCAAGGGCCCAAATCGCCCCGCAGTCAGGGAACACTCAGCATTCTGCCGGATGATCGTGGTGTCTCAGTAATGGACCCGTTCACGAGAGTACACTATCCCTTCGTGGTCTTTGCAGGGCCCTTGAGGACTGTTTCGGTGGCATCAGCCCTGTCAACAGCAAGGCGAGGATACGTGCGATAGTTGAGCGCGTGATGGCGCATTGTGATCGCCCTGCGGGGAATACACTATGTGTTGCCACGACCGCCGTGTGCTTGATGCAAAGACATCGGACGCCTTTGATAACATCAAGCCGGCAAGCCAGAACTTCGGAGGCATTCCCCCGGATCAGCAGGAGGCTGTGAAGTCGCTTTCTACAAAGCTCTGGGGAGACTGGGAACTGTTGCCTTGCAATCGTGGACGTTTCCTGTTCCAGTCCTTGAAAGATATGCCAGTAAATGAACCTGCACTGCTGGCAGAGGCTGTGCGCATGCTCACGTGCCCCGTGTGCGCTGAAGCCTTCAGCTACACCGACAATGTCAAGGCGAAGATGCCATACATTGGATTCCAAGCGGAAGGCCGCTGTGATGCAAGCATTTCCGCGTCAGTAGGTGAAGTTGGTGCGTTCGTTTCCGCCTCCGGTGGCTTCATGGTTGACACTCCGGAACATAGGAAAAGAAGGAACGCCGCCGTCTTTTGCACTGCTGGCCACGTAGACAGCAGTTGGTGGGCGGCTGCACGCTTTCCGGCTACAACATCCCACACACAGGAGTGGACGCTGCACCCGGAGTGTTTCGATGGCTTTCAGCCCAGTGGGCAGATCGAGCAGAATGCGAAGGTGACGATTCGGAATGCAGCGAGCATCCCAACTGATCTGCAAAGCCTCTTCGCAGGTAGTAGACAGTTTGTCCAGATGGAGTCGACGCTCCGCCTGTTGCTGAGCCTGTGTTGTGGCATACAGTTTTTCATGAAGATGCTGATTGGCAGGACCGTCACCTTGGATGTCGATGCCTCCGCTGTTGACACCGTGATTGCGACGATCCAAGAAACAGTGAGCATTCCACCCGACCTGCAGCCCCATCTTCGCAGGTAAGCAGTTGGAGCACGGCCACATGCTCTTGGACCACAGCATCCTACATGATGGTAGTGATCTTGAAAGTCCCATGATGGCCGCATTGATTGAGGGTAAGCTTGAATTGGTGTTTTTCGCCATCTAGGCTCCTGTGTGGTTTCACGTTTTGTCTGGTGGGTTAAGGGCTGTCACGGGGGCGGTTTTTCTTAGTTGTGCCGCTTCAATCCCCTTTGCCATGCTCACCGGCTGAGTGCAAACTGGGCTTCGCCGTGTATTTCCCGCTTCATTCCGGGAAACCCAGATTTCTGCTCCAGCCTGTTCACAAACTTAATTCAGTCCTCAACCTTTTCGTAGCTACATTCAACAATAAGGAGTTTATGCAAAGGTCACCCTCTCAAACCCTGTTCTGATCCTGGTTCTTAATAGAACCTACTTCTTAATTCAGGTTTGCCACGCTCTCAGAATGCTACGATGGGCCGTCTCTCGTAGTTAGTTCAACCTCACAGGGAATTTCGTGGAAGGCGGTACTGCTACAGGTTTGTAAGAAAACCCTTCAATCAATGAGCTACATTTACACATTTAACCCATTTCAAAGACACCCTGTGTGCGTCTGAGCACATCAGCTAGCAACACCTTTTTTGCAGCTAACTCCGCAACCAGGACGACTTCGGGTGGGCTAACTCTTGAACAGCCTGAGGTATAGTGGACAGACTTCTGAGCTGGCTATTCTCAAGTATTTGTACTTCCCTCAGAAAGCCAAGAACCACATTTCTGAGAGTGTGGCCCATACAGCATGATGCCTTCTTAAGGTTCTCAGATGTCCACATCGTTTCAGTTCGTACCTACATGAACTCAACCTAGCTAGGACTAAGATGCTTTATTCAAGCAGAGGAATCCTTCTGGGCCTCCTTCCTATTCAGCTGATTTAAGAATTTAGGGTCTTGTACTAAAGTGACAGAGACGTCCTAACTAAATTGAATGAGGTTTGTATCAAGAAGCCTCATGCTGAGGAAAAATCATCCTCAGCCCCGTTGGAACTTTAAAAACATCGGGTTGCCCGCTTTCAATTAAGGCTGATTTGGATGAGGCATTGTTCTCCAGAGGCCACACCCGGAGAGAGAAGACCTCATCTGGGCCTCGTCAGCGTTGTCATCGAAACAGGACTGTTAACGAAATCCTCCGCTTGGCCCTCCTTTCCAGTTGTCGTCAATCTGGGTTTTATGTGCAAGAGCCACCAAGCCTCGTTCAAATACAAGCTGCTCCCTCAGAACTTCCTGGTGCCCTAGGGCAACATACCGCGCATGCATTTTAGGCCATCGTGCTGATTTGCTTTTCCGCTGCCGTTTAAGATTTAGGCAGTTGACATGGCGCACATGACACCGTGAAAATCTGCCTTAACAAAAGCTGTTCATTCTGACGTCGACTAACCAACAGGGTCCATTATGCGAAGCGTCATGCACAGTGACTTTTTTCCACGATCAATGCATACTTCAGCAGGTGTGCGGATCAGCGGGGAGGCATGACCACACGTACATGTAACACATATACTACTCTCCACACTCGTTTTGTTTCTTGAAGGTTCCTCCACCCCACCCTCGACATGCTCAAGGCCCAAAAATGATCCTTGGTGGGAATCCTCACAAGACCCCAAACGGCCTTTGGAGCCGCTGGAAGCTCCGAGTTGTCCACGCTGCGGCTGAGTTGGATCAAGGCCTCCTCCTTCGCGGACAGAGGGAGAATCAAAACAGCTGTCATCCTGAGTTCCAAGTGTAGACCTCCTTGTACCAGTTCAAGCTGTGGCTGCTACATCCCTGTAGGTTGGCTTAGCGGCTTCTTGCAAGGTCCAAGCTGCAGAAACCGATATCTTTTAGGTTGCTCGAGGCTCTGCTATGGAGGATGAGGGGGAATGGACCGCTCGCGTAAGGGAGACCTCGAACTCGTGGTGCAGTGCCAGGTGTAACCATTCCCGTAATTCAAATTACAGAGGAGTGGTCATATTCTTCGGGGCTGGGGGCAACAAGAAAGGCAAACACCGTGTAAACCACAAGCAAACGAACAGTGTAGTGTTTTCTTCAGTCTTCGCAGTGTCCGCGAAACCCCATTGAAAGGCAGCAAATTATGTCATTTAGGGCTTTTCGGTATGTGTGCGAGTAGTGAGTCATGATGAGTCATGATGAGTCATAGACACCACTGTGCGGCTTCAAAGGCATGACTCCCAGAAATCTAATCCCTCAGTGGTTGCAAGAACTTGAAGGAAAAACTGGGCACGCTTCAAGCAGGCCTCTGCTGGTTGTAAATACACACCTCCGCACGGAAATAGCTGCTAAGATCTCCTTCATGTCCTTGGAGCCCTCAAGTTCAGTGACTTTCGAATCCAGCTGCTCCGCTTCCTGCAAGCCCCCGCAGGCGAAGGCCTTAGGGCCTCTAGGACTCTAGGGCTACCATCTGACCTACGACGTAGTCCTCGAGCAGACAGCCCTCGGTTCGCACACCGAGTTTAGGGTTACAGGCGTCGAGGGCCGATCTGCCTTCATCGCGATCTCTGCTGCCTCACCGGTGGCGGCGATGATGCGCCTGACGCCTTTCGAGATACCTCCAGTGGTCCAAGATGCATCCAGCCAGTGTCTACAAATCAGCATACTCCACAGCACGCGTTTCTTGTGACCACCCCGGCCTCTTTCTTCCAACAAAGCGAAGGACTTGGCCTCCGACGTCGAGGAGATGTGCGTGCCGCCGCCTACATAGCTCAAGGCGAGTGAGGAATGCAAATACATGCCGGGACACTCTTGTTGCTCAGATGGATTAGGGGGGGGGAGGGGGATCACGACACGCTGCCGAAGCTGCTTGGCTTCGGGCACTTTGACTTGAAATAATGGTCTGGCCAGGGGCTGTGGGGCTCGTCTCTGGGATTCAGTTCATACGTAAACAATCCCGGACACACAACTCCCCCAAGCTCTGTTTTGCTCCGCGCACCCCCAGGATTGGTACTGAAAATAAGTGGGAGAAAGAGCGACCCTCACCACAGACAGGATTGCGTTCAAGTGCAGACTGGGCGACCGCAGGAGGCAACAGGCAAATGGCAGCAACAAAAATGAACGCCAGCGTTTGACAGCGCAACGTGTGTCTTTTGGCCGAGCAGCAGAACTCGACAGATTGAGTCAGCCACTGAGAATCGCCGGGCTTCTCTAGAATCGTGTCAAGGTCTGCAGAGCCTGCGGTGCAGTGAAAACAGCTCAGCAAAGGACATAGGCTGCAGATCCGGTGCCTACGGTCACGACGCGCACAGGATCTGGATACGACTCCCCGGCCATGGCTCGCAGGCCAGCAATGGCCTCACAGGCAGCCAGCACAGGCTCAGCAAATGCTTTGCATATCCTCGTGTTCAATGCCAGGTAGCCTGCGCGTCTGCTAGAGCCACGGTCTTTGTGTGCACTGGCAGGGCCGAATCCACAACCTCGCGGACCTCCAGGTCAAGCCACTCAAACCTTTCTTGACACCGCGTCCCAGAGCACCTGACTAATGCCCGACTGAATTCCCAGTGATAGCATAATGCGCAGCTGCAACTTGGGAACTCAGTCGTACTTGTGCTGCCTATGCACCACCCCACACAAGATACAAATAAGAGAAATGAAACAACATCCACGAAAGACACAGAAGAGCAAAGCAACGAGGCAACTTCATGGGACGACGAGCCTTAGACTCCACCAGCTGCAGGTCCTTGACAGACACGCCGTTGCTCGCTTCATAGCTGAAATCGAAACGTAGCCTGGCTTCCCAGCACAGCATGGGCCGAGAGGCAGAAGAGTCAGAGGGGGGGAGGGGGAGAGAGAGAGAGAGAGAGCGAGAGAGAGAGAGCGATTGACATAGAAATCGAGATCGAGATCGAGATCGATCTTGGTCCGCCTTTCAGCCGTTACAAGCGAGCCCCTCTGGTCAATGCCATCACCAAGGACCTGCACCCGCTATGATGGGAACTCAGGACCACTTGTGTTACTGCTCTTCGGCCTCTCGCAAAGCCCAGTTCAGTACGTGCGTCATGGTGTGGTTCGGAGCGATGCGGCTTCGATGTGCATAGTCCACCTGCAACGACTGGCGACATTGCATCAAGGAATGTGTGCGCGTGTGTGCATGCGGTCTGTCTGTCTGTCTGTCTGTCTGTGCAAGCCATACGGCGCACCCACAACAGCCTAGCTTCCTCGGGTTGGACAACCCTGGTTCCTCAAGCGACCGGGCTACAAACCCTTTGGCCCAATGACGCACTTGCAGCAGGTCGGACCTGACACACAACTTCATCTCCGACCTCGATGCAGCAGGGCATCGCCAACTTGGCACTGCACAGCTAACTCAGAAAATCTCGATGTCTAGTGACAAAAACCCAGCACAACCAGTCCAGTATCGTTCTGGAACCAGTGATAGTCAAGTAGTCGCAGTGCATTTCTGCTGCAGTGTTGTGCTACAAACATCTGGCAAAGCACAGGGCATGTGCCAAAGTTGCACTCGCAAATAGTCACATTAGCTCAGCCTGGCCGCAGACAACGCTCCAGTTGGGAGCGGGCCGGTGTGCAACACGTAGCCTGCGAATGCCTCCGAAAGGGAAACCAGCGGCACAACGACACTCGCAACCACGACGCCACCCACAGCAAAGTATTCCACAGCTGTTCAGTATTCTTCAATACCGGATAGCTCTTCCCATTAGGGTCTCGTGGCCCAGACTTGCGCCATCTCGAGCCGCAGGCTTGACATGTGGACTGCATTTCCTTGCTGTGTAGGCTTCTAGCAGCTGTTTGTCGCCTGAACGACCTTCACATCCAGCTCGGCGCCATCATCCTGAGTCTGTGCACATCTTCTCAGCCTTCCTTTCCCGGAGTGTGTTTGCTGCGCATCCATGATCCCTGGTCTATGTCTATGTGGTGTTCTTCCTCCCCTGTCAACTCTGCTGCACACAGCATATTAAGGTGCGGCCACTTGAGCCCGTTGTCGCAGGCGAGTGGCCTTCCTCAGCAACCCCAAATCGTTCACCTGTCCTCCAGCCTGCACATGGAATGGCATTGCAACGAGGCCCTTCAACCATCCCGGTGCTCGTGGTGGCTTAAGCAGCAATATATATATATGCTCTCACAAGCCATGATGCAAAATTGGGGCAACTCTCAGCTGCACTGGATCAGAGTCATGTTTCAGAGCCATGGCCTCTGCATAGAACGGCGTCTTGTCCAATACCTTCAAGGAAAGGCCAGAGCACTCACTGCCCCTGACGACGTTACCAACAAAGAACTTGGGAGTGAAACCGCAACGTCAAGGGAGTGACAACGACATGCGAAGCAAGAAAGCGTCCGTTACAGCGAAACTTGCAAGGCTAGCCGGCGACCATCATCGGGCGAAGTTGAGCTGAACAAAAATCATGTCAACACAAAACACAAACCCAGCGGTGCAGCCCTTGCGCAGAAGGCTTCAGGCAGGAAGCAAGTCCAACGGAAGCCCCATCATCTTTGATGTCCGCAGTGCTCTCTACGAAGCCTGGGCAGGAGGTATATCACAAGTATATGTATATATACATGCATATACAAAAATATATACTATGTGTGTATAAATAATATATGAATCTTGTTGGCCTGCACGCGACCCAGATCTAAATGTGAAGCTTCAAGTACCTCCAAAGTTCGCAGCCGAGGATCCATGCTCGGTGTAGATGGCCAGGATACTGGCCGAAGGTTGGGTGTTCCACGTGTACTTGGGGTCATCATCCTGCAGACACTCCCGGATGCCAGGCACACACACACACACTGAAAACCAGAAAGAACCAACGTGACTTGATGAGTTGCAAAAAGCCGGTTGGGTCAAGCTGTATCATCCAAGAATCGGTAATGGGAACCTTGCGGTCGCCCAGCCAAGCCTGACGCATGGCATGTCATACCGTACAAACGACCTCGAGCCGAGCAAGAAGTACCCTGCAGAAGGCTCCACCAGAAACTCAGACCACACGCTTGAGCTGCTTGAGATGGAGATGATCCGAGCATTCCGGGCTTAGACCCTGCGCTGCTGAGGCTGCGTCCGTTTGTTCGGCCACGAGCTCCAAAGGCTGCAAACCTTCGGACTTCTGTGCCTGCACAAATGAATTCGTAACAGCACTGCTAGCTTTAAGAAAACAACTACACTGGCATCTCATTCTGCAGCTTCTCCTGAGAAGCCACTGTGGTCCAGGTCACGGCATCCTGCTCAAACTCGGCTTGCCTGCTGTTCGCGAAGGGCTTCCCGCGATCGCTCCTTCTGCTTTTCCATTGCAGCCTGTCATTTCTGCCGCTGCATCGACTTCAGCGACGAGCCCGGCTTCCTCTGCAACATGTGCACCGCCTTGCCTCGAACCCGGCAGAGTCCAAAGTGAAGCCTGCCTGGGCAGAAGCATCTCAGGCTAGTTGCTGACTTTTGAATCGGCTATCCCCCCTCAAAAGGGAATGGGACGCAACTATGGCTGTCATTGGCAGGAATTTGTGGTGTTTTTGTTTGCGTAGCGCCTGCTTCTGTCACAGTCGCAGTTGCCGTGCTAGTGTTTTATCATCTTAGATGTCTTAGATGCAAGAATGGCGTAGCAAGAAGCACTTGCTCTATCTTGCTTTGCCTTCCGATTTACCTACCTTGTCCAGCTGCTAGCAGAGTAAGCTGAAGCCGCCGGCTCCAAACATGCACACAGCACAGAAACATGGCTTTCGCCTCTTGCGCCATCTGCTCCGTCAAATCCAATGGGAATCCGTGGGTGTCGTAGAGCAGGAAAGCCTCACACTTTCTGCCAGAATTGCAAGAAGGCCGCCACTAAGCTCGTGAGCCATCCCGTGGGCCTGGTCGCCCGGGATGATGGACTTGCCTTCAGCAGTCAGTTCATCCTCGGATCACACCCCGCTTAGCGGCCTACAACGAGGAGGTCACACACTGGTTCAGTACCGATGCCGGTCGTACTTACTAGTACCAGTCTCGTCAGGCAAGGGTCTCGAAGAGCCTCGAAGAACTGCATTCCGCGATCGACTGTGCGGTCGAATGCAGCCTGGCAGGATTCCAAAGTGAAGAAAATGAGCAGTAAAAAGAGATCTGTGGCCCGTCCGAACTTGGCGGGACAGAGAGCCCTGTGTGTTTCGACATGTTACTTAGGCGGTGCAAGAAACGGGCGCTGCCTCTTCCTCGCGAAGAACAGATTCCACACGCTTTGCCCCCTCATTGAGTTCCGGGAATGCTACTCCGAGACAGTCGGCCACTTTGGGCACCTAAGCGGTGAACGCGACGAAGCTGCAGAAGCACAACTGAGGCAGCCAGGATTGTATTTTGCAGCATCTGACCCCTCCCTAACGAAGGCAAAGGGGAACACCAAGGACCCAGCCAACTGGCTGAAGAACCCTGGTGGAGCTTGCAGCTTCGACCGGCCGTAGCGCACGGCCCGCCGGAGAATACGGCGCAGGACATATCCACGGCCTGTCCCAACACAAACTCTGTCGTGTACACGATCTGTCGATACTATACTACACTATACCTCTCCCATCCATCATATCGAGGCTACGTTGCCTCACCTCCCATACTTCCCTGTGAATGGACTGAATCGTCTCAAGCCTTCGCTCGATGGCATGGCGCCATCCACAACAGCCAAAGTAAGCGTTCTGGCGTGGTCTACGATGATTCCTTGCGTGCCAGGTTCTTTACAAAGAAAACCTGATACGAGCGTTAGAGCCCATGACTGATGACAGCCGCAGAATGGCACAAGTGTAGTGGCCAAGCTTCTGTAGGCTGTGTCTCGCATTCCCACGTCCTCTTCGCCCACACGCCCCTGGTACGGATCACCTTGACAAGCGCGGGATATGGAATGCCAAGTCGGCGGCAGGCATGCATGCTGCCTCCAACCAAGTCGTGAAGCGCTGCCAGGAGTGGGCCAAAGATGTCCGTGTCATAGTTGCTGCGCTTGTCCTGGAGCACCTTCAGTTGATCAATTACTATCTTAAGGCGCCTTCATCTCTCGGGAGAGCGAGTGCCCACTAGCAGGGGGCTGAGCCTACAGTACCGCTCTCGAAGGTTCCAAGCCAGTGTGCTGCCAGGCGTCTGAAGTGACCCGCTCAAGGCCCATGCCAGTATCGATGTGTCGACTAGGAAGTTCCGTCAGCGTGCCATCATCTTCGCGATAGAACTGCATGAACACCAAGTTCCTGTCAGGATGTTTGATTGGCAGCGCTGCCACTACGAGTGCACAGTACACAGCTATCGTAAAGTGAGCGTGAAGAAGCGGGCTCCAGATCTCGATCACATCTGGGTCATCAGCATTGACCAAAGCTGCAGCATCCCGGCCACCCAGGCGATCATAGTGCAGCTCGGAGCAGGGCCCGCACGGGCCTGGTTGAAAAGAGGATCTTCAATTATGTTTGCAGTCTCCCGGCTACTGCGTGTGAAGCTTCAAAGGGCACTCAACAAAGGAACCTGCGCATGCACCGTGCTTCGGGAGTTCCGCACACCAACATGTGCCATCATCGGCCAGCGTACAGCAACATCTGCGCATCATTTTGTTGTTGCTCACGGTTGCTGATCTTCTACCTGCCTTCACCGTGCAAGACAGACCTACTAAATCTGCCTGTGGCACCCATCTCCCAGAAGTTGTCCTAGCCAGCGGGCAGATGTCATGTACACTTTGCAGCTTTGCATGTTCCGATCTTCCCTTGTTAACTTCTTAAGGCCTGACCTATTAATTCGTTGGAAGCTGCTGGGCGCACCCCTCAACCCACCCTTGACTGATTGCTCCCTTCAGTGTCACGAAATGAATGACAGGCAGAAATGGTAGTGTGTATCTCGGCCTTTCGACCTCTCTCTCTCTCTCGCTCGCTCTCGCTCTTTGTTTCTGCAGGGGTCGAGCGAACCCTGACCTTGTGCTACCGCGCGTGCGCAAGCATGAAGTGCAGGGTAACAAGACCAGGACGAATGAGACAATCGGTTGAAAATGCAAAGGGGCTTCGGCAGCTACGAGACTTTTTCTTTCAAGAACCTTTGTGGACCGGCCCCGCGCAGGTTGCACGCCCCCGTTCCCGGCTCCAGCGCAAGATTTGCTTGAGGCATGTGATCGACAAACTCCGCCGACCCCCCCCCCCCCCGCCCCCTTTCTTTTTTGGTTTTCTCTTGCTTGCTTGCTCAGTGTATGGCCTCCCGAAATAGACCGCCCCAGAGAGCACGCTCCACCGAGTTCGTCTGTGTGAACGGGTGGAAGAGGGGTTAACGAGACATGGGAAGGTGTGTACTCCCAAACATAAGGTGAAATTACCCTTTGTGGGTTCATTGACTCCGAACCTGCTGGAGTTTTGTGTGTTTACATGGGTCGGTTTCCCCGATTTCGGGTTATGGGAATGTTGTCTTTGGCTCTTCGACCTGAGGACTCCCTGGTCACTAACCTACAGCTGTCCTGGCCGTTGAGCTGCTTTCCCTTTGGTGAAATGTGGGAGGACGAGGATTTCTCTCTCCCGCTCTCTCTCTCTCTCTCTCTCTCTGTCTCTCGCTCTCGCTGTGTCTCTCTCTCTCTCTCTGGTCTCTCTCTCTGGTCTCTCTCTCTCCCTCTCTCTCTCTCTCTCCACACGCTTGGCCCCCCAGAGGGGAGCCGCCCCGAAGGGCGCGAGAGTCCCATGTGTCGCGTCTGTTGGCGCCCCCACGGTTTTCGTGGGGCGTGTTTTGGATGGGCCGTGGGCCCAGAGTTGTATCTGATGCCCACTCTGTGCCCCATCCCAAGGTGAAAGCTAGGGGTGCTGTGCTGTTCTCCCCCCTTTGTGTGTGCTGTCTTGGCCCCCGCAAAGAGAAAAGGCATGTTCAAACAAAGGGTTGCAAGTACGACTACAGCAGGATGTGTTCAGTCCCCCGGGCCTCAGCACCTTAGTTAGTCACTACTTGCTCCCTCATGTGTGCGTCTACGTCTGGAGTCTATGCCATGTTCTGGTGGTGAATCGTGTAGTCGGGGACGTCGTCGGTCGCCGCTGGCGTCTATCTTCTTGGCCTTCTTTGCCCCCATGTCCGATCTGTCTTCGTCTTCGTCCGCCCCGTCGCTTGGTGGAAAGGAGGGTGTGAGTGGTGTGGTGGGGGGGGTTGGGTATTCTTCGGTCTGCTCGGACTCGCCCCCGGGTGGCCCCATGTGGTCCGGTGATGGTGGGTGGAAAGGGACAGTGTCTGGGGTGAGTTCGCCCGGCTGCTGGTCAGGGTGTCGTGTTGGCTCTGGTCGTGGCAGTAGGGGTTGTGTCTGGGTGTCTGACAACCAGATGGGCTCTTGGAAAGGTGTCCCCAGCCATTGGTCGAGTGCCTCTCTCTCTCTCTCTCTCTCTCTCTCTCTACGGGGCATGAAGGCCAGGGAAATTCCCCTGACCAAAGCGCACTGGGCGCGCCCTGATTGTCTCAGAGTCGGCGTGGGACTCAGCGAAAACACGGGGAAACCTGAACCGCGGAACACCTCCACAGCACAGTAAGGGAGCGGATTCCCCCCCCCCCCCCAACAAGACCAGTATGGTTTCCCCCCGTCTCATTGTCGCCAGTCGGTCGAAGGATTTCAAACAGCGATCCCAGCCCCGGCCCTCAGCCCTGGTGTCCTTTCTGTCGAAGGGCAAGACCCTCTCAGGTGGGAGGAGCTTCTCCCACATCTCCTCCACGAGGCTTCCAACAAGAACTGATTCATCTCGTTCCGCTACGTGTGCCTAGAGAAGCTGGCAGGTGTGGTCGGCCAAACACCGTACAGCACGAAGGTGTCAAAGCAATCAAACCCGTATGTCGACAACTCGGGCATGCAATCGATCACTTTAAAGACTATACAAAGCAGACAAAGCACAGAAGCAAGCTCAATAACCGAGATGCTGAAAAAATCCCATCATTTCGCTGGCTCCTTGGCCTCGACATCCGCTGGGAGGCCCAGCCTGCTAAAGCCAACGCGAACGCGCAGAAGTGGTTGCGTATTAACACTGCTAAGTCGTCAGACATTGGTTACAGACCTTGAGGAATGAAAACCTAGTCAAAGGATTGCGACATAGTGTGTGCCCTTGTGCTCCTGGCACTTTGCGCAAGATAATTTGACTGCTGCAGTCTGCACTAGAAAGTAGCAAGCTGGTGTGCGGCATGTGGGGAACGTTTGTTTTTGCCACGGCGCTCGCAACGAAGCATCAGCAGTCGAAAGCACAGATGGCAGAAAAGACACCAGCGATACAAAGAACGTACCAGCTGCTGCCGAGGGTCTCTTCGTCACCGGCGAAATAGCTGGCGTAAAGGCGTTCCGGGTCCAAGCCGTAGACCTTGGCTCGGTCCGTGGGCAACATGTCGATACCGCGCAAGCTCCAATCTTTGGGACAAAACCCTATAAGCCCTAAACCCTCTTCAACCCTAAAGTCTTCGGAGTCCTGAAACTGCGCAAACAACTCATCGGGCAAAATGTCCCCCCGCCCCAAACGACGAATTTTCCACCTCCGTGAGGAGCTCCCAGGCCCAGTTGATCGCCTCCTCCTTGAAATAGTCGCCGAAGCTCCTGGGCTGCTCAAGTGCTAAAAAAGGTGCAGAGAATGGTGCCAATGCAGCTGAAAGGGCCAGTTGCCCAACATCTCAAAGAAGGTGTGGTGATACACGTCCTTGCCAACGTCATCCTGAAGACAAGGCGCTGCAGAGATCTCGGGAGAAGGATGGGACGTCAACGGCCACACAAGGTCTAAGCTTCCATTGCAGATGGCTTCTTTCACACTCCCTGCTACTTTCCACCAAGCCACGACCTACATCATTGAAGCGGAGTTCGGTGACCATGCATGTTTGGCCCTGCTATGCTCAGGCAGAGGCATGCAAAGTTAGAGGCGACACCAGTCTTAAGAGCAGAACGAGGGGAGGGTGCCTCAAGCAAGGCCGGCGGCGGCTGTTGAGTGGGGAACACAGCAAGGACAAACGAAACAGGCTGAGAAAACTCATGGCGAAGCAGAAACGGAAGACAAGAGCGCAATGGGGGTGGCCGACCTGTTGATGCACAGGCCTGAGTGGCTCAGCATGCCCTCTTGACCAAACATCTTCAGGCATGCCACCAGGTCGTTGTGCTTCCCACCGGCACGGATGCACTTCTGGCTGTTGACTGCTCGTGCTACGCCTGTCGAGGACAGATGTGTGCAAAGCTTGCCTGCTACTCTGCTACTCTGCACGGCAGAAGGAACAGGGCTTGGGCGACAGGCCAGCTTCGAACGGTTTTATAAACGGACTGGTCCACTCTCAAGAGTTTGAGGAATTCCTTTGGCTGGGAAGTAGACTCAGTAGACTCAGTCGACCCTAGGCTCGCCGGCTTGAGGCCCTAACCTGGCCTTGAAGCGGGCTGTTGGGCTCCAGCTGTCCCAAAAAAATAGGCTTGAACTGGTTCATTCCGGCCTCATGCTTCAGGATCCCCAAATGGCTTTGAAGAGCTGTGGAATGCTGCAGACCACTGCCGGAAAATCGGACTGCTTGATTGAGGCAGATGTACAGGGCTGACAGCTGGTCATAGTCTGAACATGAACATGCATCCATCCGACACGGTGTGCGAATGCCAATCTATCTGGACAAGCTGCGTTGGCAAACAGCAGCGTCGGATCATTCAGAGGCACCACCGGGCTCGACGCGATGAAGTCGTGTTCCTTCTTGTCTCTGAAGAACTCGATGTAAGCTTCACGGACCTTGTCACCTGATGAGGTCAACTTACATGGCGGTAGCCCGAAAAATCTCCAAAGCCCCCTGTGCGCTGAATCTTCGCCCGGACCTGGCCTGTCCAGACAGTCTCTGAAGAGGCCCGACACGAAAGAGCTATGTATGGCAACCTTGTTGGAGCATCTCTCTGAATCTCCCATACAGTAAGATGTCATCATGCGAATCATGCGGCACATGCTCCATTGAGAAGAGCGAAGCTCGAACTCTCCAAGTTGCTGCCGCCGCTGCCGCCGCCGTAGGCCACGCCACGCTGCAGCTCCCACAGCAGCGCTGCTCAGCCTGGGGGAGCCACTGGAGGCCAAAACACCTACACTAAATACGCTACGTATTGCTACACTGTCAGCCGGCTCATATCATCTGAACGCATGAGAAGGAACCAGCGCCCGCGCAGCCGTCGCGGCTTGTCCTTGACCTCAGGCAAGGCTGGCGCCAGGAGCTGCAGGGGGGAGCGAGGGCAGCGGCGCAGGGTGGCCAGCCCGGCTGGCCGTATGGCGGGCCGCATTGGCACTTGAAGAGACTTCTCTGCTCTCTTGCTTGGAACTAAACCTTCATGCCCGAGCACCGGCTTCCTGCGCCTTGGGGTTTAACTAATCAAGAAGGCTTCTGCAGGTTGTGCTCAAAGCGACTCATGAGGCTCGTGTTGTTTTGTGCCTTCATCCGGTGGCATCACTAAGTATGCTAATAGCTTGAGGCAGGACAAGAAACCAGACGCATTCCGGTCGGCCAGCATCCACTGCATGCACCATTCACTGTCTGAGTTCCTTGCACCCTCTGGCAGAGTGACGGCCACATGGGCGGAGCGAGCTGGCCTGGTACATGCGCAAGGTCTCTGCTTGCAGTCGATTATGAATTCTGTTCGGCAGCCGCTTCACACGCGGACAGCAAATTCTGCCGGCAATGCCAGGGCGCGATGTCCACCTGCTGCCTTACTGTGCCCCACCATGACCCACCATTGCCTAGCATTCCCACCTGTACCAATCATTAATTGCCCACAGTTGCCAACCAACCATTACCAGCATTGCCACCATTACCCATCACCCACCTTTTCCCACCTTTTCCCACCTTTTCCCACCTTTCCCACCATGATAAGTCGGCACAAACGAGCATGAAGCCATGTGAAGCCGCCAGTAACCAGTACGACGGTGAAGAAGCACTCGAAGCAGCGTCCGCCGCCGCAACAGATCCCTCTATATAGTCTAATTGCTTTTTATGCCTGGCTGGCCATAGCCGAAGGAATCACATCTCAACCAAAATATTCTCAGAATTCATCAAAAAAGGTATCAAACAAAAAGACCCAAGATCCAAGAAGAATCTTAGGAAGATCCGGCAGCTGCTGAAGTTACGTCGTTACGCCATCTCGGGCACAGCAAAGCTTTGGAACCTCACACTGCGCGGGGAACCTCGCACGAAGCCCCACGCAGGCATGTACAGACCGACATCCCATGCTGACCCTCATCCGTGGAAGATATAGCACAAAGGAATGCCGCCGGTAACCTGTACATGACGCTCCTACACATGACATGGGCTCAGTGCATGGTTTCACGGGTTTCCATCCAGGTCTTTGTGGGATGGTCATACGTAGCACAACACCCCTGTCTCACCAAACTCAGAAATTCAGCAAGATCTCTCTTTTGATTGGAATGGGACTGTCACAAAACAGTGGCACCTTCGGTGCAGTCAGTCCAGGGCAATTCAAGGGCTGCAAGGGTGAGAAGCTGCAGCTGCCAAACCTCCTTGTGGTAGAATGAACGGAACGCGTAGGGCGTAGGGTAACCGCTTTGAGGAGGCAAGCAAGAATGCCTGTGCACTACACACATTGCACCAGAGGCTGGCAGTAGCGGTTGGAACTCATGAGTTCCTGACATCGCGTGGCCACACAGGTAGGTATGGCTCTGCAAAGAAAACACGAAGGTGACTACGATGGCCAGATGCCCTCATCATGCTTCAGGCCGTAGTTGAAGCGCAGACCACCGTGTTCCAGCGGCTGTCGCCAGCCTTCGGTGGTCCAACTGCAGGCAGCGACAAATCAATTGAGCTTCTTGACGGCAACTCTTCGACAGCGAAGATACTGATAATCAACAGGACATAAGAGGACTGCGCTAGCACTGCGAGAATCACATCTTCGACAATGATGATCCCTCGCTGGCTATAGGCGACCGAGTGCTAGCCATGTTCAGGTTCTGCCGCTTGTCTCTCGCCCTCAATGTAAGCTTCCCGCCAAGCTCCTGGCAATGGCTTGAGGGATTTTGGGGGCAACACTACAATTTAAAATTGAAGCTGAAATTACATCCGCTGACAAGGAGCCCTTAGAATCTCTGCCCGAAATGCCTTCTCGGATTCTCCGACTCGTGAGCTGACTTTCTCGGGGTACGGCTTGTTGCTTTGTACTGTCTTTGCGGTCGTCTTGATGTTCATGTAACCTTTCGGAGGCAATGCTTGCCTCTTTGGCTGCGTTGTGGCAAGAAGCCCTGATTCAGGAAAGCACAGCACAGCAGTGTACTGGCTCAGGGCTCGCAAAAAATATCAAAATTAGACAGGAAAGGGAAGCGCCCCAAACGAAAATAAGCAGTTGGCATTGCGACGTCACTTTCAAAACCAACAGCATCAGCTCTTACAAACCTGGTCGAGGCATGAGGCTTTCAGGCACACAAACGGAAGAGCACGGGCGCGCTAGCTGAAAAGCCTGATGGCCAGATGCCTGTTTTTCTTGGCACAAGCTCAAGATCTAGACCTAGATGAAGCCTAGATGCGCATGTCAGCTTGCAGAGGCCCCTCCTGCTGTGTTGTTTGGGGCGCCCGAAAACGTTCACGCGGGACACGTCGGAGTCCTGAACAGCTCGACAGGCACTTTGGACGGAGCTGTGCAAGACAAGGCGCCTGCCAGGGCTCCAGAGCGAGACATCTCCTCACCCGGCGAGAGGCCTTTTCCCTGGCAGATGGATGGTGCTGCAGGCAGATCGTGTAAGCTGTGGATGGTGTAAGGTGGTGCAGCCCAAAAGCATTTGGTGCAACAAGCGGTCTCCGCAAGCCTGCTTCGACAATGAGCATTTTTGTCCGCATTTCCGAAGGAAGTGTGACCCCGGCTTCTTTTGCCGCCCGCCAAGCCACAGTACTGCAGAGACCATTTCAGAGGACTACAATATATGAGGTCCAGGATGCACAACACACTACATAGATAGCATCGTTCACCTTTCTAAATTTCTAACGCCAAATCACCCATCCGATGGTACGATACGAAGTTCATCCTCAACCACGCTAGACGTTCCGTAGCTGTGCCAAGCAGTCGCGAATTCACAAGACCAGTGGTCAATCGTTGCCTCCCAAAACCAGCATATCAACAAAGTGCAGCCCCAACACCGATCAGGTAACCGCATCCATTTGTTCGTCTGACCCCAGGCCTTGACGTGTGCGCGTGTCTCGCACATGGCTTCCATTGAAAGAACACCTGCCTTGACCCAAGGGGCCAGCTCGACTGGTGCAACACGGCTAGGTTCGACTTCGGGGTTACCTGGAATAATGCTAAATTTCTGGACCCGGGACCCTGACACGACAGCCAAAGGCCAAAGGCCAAAGGCCTGGAGCCTTGAGGGGGCCCCCCAGCCCGAGAAGCTCAAAGCCTGTAAAGTCCGGGCACCCACTCTGATCATTCTAGGGCGGGGGAGATCCCGAATTGTGCATTATGTGGCCGTCTGGATGTGCCATCAGACCACAAGTCGAATTAAAACTTGAACACTTTGAATCACTGTCGCGCTTTCGTAGCCGCGACTATGACAAGCTAGACAAGATCTATCCGCAAGATCTATCCGCAATGCTGCATGGCATGGAATAGCGACAAGCCGCGACGCCATGGTCGCACAGGTCCTGCAGACTCCACTGTCCTAAACGCGGAGAAAGCAACCGCGGGGATCACCTTGAGCCACGTGCGTGATTCGACAGCACATTTACTGTGGCTTCCTGACGACGACCGGACCCGTGTCTGTGTGTGTACCTAATCGCGGATCAGCCGTGGCATAGTAGCTCAGGAATACTCGGCACCTCTTTTGCAGCAAGCGGGCCGCTCGATGTGACTTCGGTCGGTATGCGCCGAGCCCTTCCTGATGGTACAATGAATCAGCGCATCAGGGGGCGTCGCATCTACCACACAAGGATCGCGCACTCTTATGCCAACCTGCATGCGATCGATATCGACCGACATGGACCGAGAGTTGATGGCTGATCAGTGTTGAAGCTGTTGAGCATCAGCGGGCATGAGAAGCGCAAGATGCACCAAGGTACAGGTGATTTCACCTGTGCCTGCACCGGACTACAAAAAATGTAAAACACGGCTGTTGCACCATGTACTGCTTCAGGTCTGCGGCAAGGGCTCTGAGCACGTTGCGCAGTCGGTCTTGGAACCCTGTGCTGAAGTTAGTCTTTTTCATCTCTCAGAAGCCTCTTTGAAGGCACAGCTCCTCTGCTTCGTCCCCAATGTTTCTTGCAATATACGACAGCCAAGAACCAGACGGCCAGAAAAACATGCCGACAGACGGCCCACGGTCAAGTCAGGTCCTCAACCGAGCCTGAAAAGGCAGCACGGTGCAAGACGGAAATCCGCATTGTAAACGACTTGAGCGGACTTCCTCGACTTCCTGGACTGCACAACCCCCAAGTGTTCATCAGTTAATCATGATGCATTGCTCATGGAAAGGACGATCGCGTCCCAAACTGCACCTGTACTGCTGGCATCACGGATGGACACAGTCCAAGAAACACGTGAAAATTGGGCCACAGAGTCTTGACTTGACCACTTCGTGGTGTCAGAAAATGGCGAAATTGCTGGCAGGGCAAGCCTACGATTCAGTCTGCCAACCATATTCAAGACATTCAAGCATCGTACTGGACAACTAAGTTTTGCAGCAGAAGGCTTCACGTCAGTGCCCTGCAAGAGTCCTATACGGTCAGGGCCGGGGTGTGTGACAAGGCTATAGCTGCATGTGGAAGATCGCAGCATTGGCAGAGGGAGGCCGGTCCCATATGCAGCAGTTCTCTCATAGTCCTGAGCTCTTCGAGCGGTCCGGATTCCCACATCCTTGCCTGTCTTAGCCTTGGGGGTATTAATATTGATACATGTGCATCACTGGCCAGATCTTGCAAGCATGCCAACAATGCACTCAGACCTCGGTGATCCTCGGTGCGCTGAAGACCTCATCCTCGCACCTCACTGCGCTTGCGAGAGGGGCTGTTGGTGGGCCTCTCTGCTCGCTCTTGCTTCTCGGCCTGGCAGGCACGCGCAAGTGCAAAAGCTGATTCGCTGCACCCCTCTTGAATTATCCATACTCACTTCCCCCTACCAAAAAAACGTAGAAACGTATGTTGAGAGACGCCCGGCGGCTTTGTCGACAGGCGAGGCAGGCGAGGCACTCTTCGATTCTGGGCCTGATGCGCCCTGCATGCTTACGTCCTTGATCTGCGCCACCAGGCCCGACTGCATGTCTCTCACCTCTTGCATTGCATTCCCCAAGAGTTGCTCTTGCTGCTTTGCCAAGCGGTTCTCGATGTCTGTTAACTCCATCTTGACCGACTCCAGGCCAGTTGTTGCCTCAAGGCGAGCCGCACTGCTTTCCAAACGCGCCACCATCGATTGCATGTCGGCGTTGGCTTCGGGGTCGTTGTCACCGTCCTCTTTGCGACCTCAGCAGTCCAGCAAAACTACTGGGGAGCCAAATCATTGTGCAACGGGCAGCTGGCACTTGACAAAGCTGAACTTGGCATGGCTTTGGCCGCCCCAACGTGCACAAAACCCAAAACAACCTGCTAATTTTCTTGAGTACACAAATGCACGCACGTGAGCCGAACACACTTGCGATACCATGCGTATTCAACCCTCAGAATGACCGCCCTTCTCGATAAGCATCAGCTGGAGCTGACTTCATCTGCCCTCCTAAGCTGAGGCCCCGACTGTTGCCCATATGCTCTGCTAGAATGCTGCGGATCTCACCGGCCGTGGCATTGTCCAGGCTCCGAATCGTGTCAAGGCTCTCAGAGAAGTTCTGGATTCTGTCGTTGGAGCTCGTAAGGAGGTCCAACATCATGAGGTTTTGACGACGGACATCTGACATCCGCTCATCCAGGGCGGCAGCGGAGCGCTCAGCTGTGACCACGGCAGCGGTGCTTTGGTCATTCAGGACATCCATCTGTTCCTTCAAGGTGGCAAGGACGGACTCGGAACTGACGGTGTATGAAGAAGACGCAGACTCTGCAAGCTCTGCGATTTTTTTGTCCAGCGTCTTCTCCACTTCGACCAAGTTCCGCACCACCGAGTCGTTGCCACTTTCCATTTTGGCCACCATGGTCTTTTGGACCGATGCCACATTCTGAAGGACCGAATGGGTCTCTGAACTTTGACTGAGAAGATCCGTCTGAGTCGTCTCAAGCTTCCCCAGCAAGGCTTTGGAAGAAGCATCCACAGCTTCCGCCACCGTTGAGGTCGTTGTGCTCTGCACATCGGCAAGCTTGGACTGCAATGTTGTGCAATGCGTGTTGATCTGATCCAACCCCTTCTGTTGAAGATCCAGCTTCTGAAGGACAGATTCTTGTGAAGAGTCCAGCTTGTGTAACAACACCTGGCATGCGTTCACGGTCTGCATGAGCGTCACCTGTCCAAAGTCCATGCGTTGTGCCACGCTCTCCTGGGTGGACTCTAAAGACTGGTTCATGCTGTCGTGCAAGGATTGCAGCTTTGCCAGCAAGGTCTCATGCAATGGCACGACAATTCTCTGAACAGCCACCGCGATCTGGCCGTCAAGGCCAGTAATTCCGGCAGCATCTACAATGCTGCCAGTTGGCGGCGTCGCCATGCCAGTGCTGTTACTCGAGGACTTCACAGTGGTAATGCGCTCTTTGTTTGCTTGCAGGACTTTCATGAAAGGGTCCTCCTTCTCCACCACTCCGCCCTGATCCTGTCGCAAGTGCCAACACGCAGAAAGCCACTCTGAGGAGAAAAAAAGCAGCGACAACATCACAAAAGCTTCCGCGGAATCTTGACAGAGTTAAAACGGCAACAAGAGTCCTACTTCCGTTGTCACGTGGCGTTGCCGAAGCAACTTGACCAGCAGCACTGGTTAAGAAACCATTGTTTGTGCGCTGCCTAAAGAACCTGTACTGCACGGTATGTCATGGATGGACCTGATGATTAAGAAACCGAAAGAGCCGATTGAAAGTTGAACGTTTCTTTCCAGCATGCTGCACTGCAACTTTGAAAAATTTCCAGGAGGGCTCATAGAAATCATTGATGGCCTTGATGGTGTGTTTTGCTTTCCTTTGTGTCTGCCCGCTTCTCTATTCTGATTGTCGCGCGCGACTTGTGCAAGTTGACATTTCGGCTCTCATGCAGAAACACTAAGTCGGGCAGGAGAGCGTTGGGGCTGAGTCAATGCCAGGCACAAGCAAGATCCCAACCACCCACGCAGCTCATCCCTGCACTGCTCCAGTGAAGCCGAAGGGGGGGCAAAGGGCATATGAACCGTGGGTGCAGCAGCATTTCGTTTCTGATGTTCGGCCAGATTTCCCGACGCCGAATGGGGTATAATTGCTAACGCGGAGCACGTCCCGTGACAAGGAAGTGTGCGGAAGTGACTGGCGTCATGCTGGATGCAGTAACAGCTAAAGGTATGCTAGAGGTGCTGCAGTTGACAGTTGGGTGCCAGACAGAGCTAGAGGCTAGAGCAACTACGGCTACGTCTCACCGAATACTTTCGAAGTCTTGCGAATCCTTGATTACAGGCAGAAAGAAGCGCTGCTGGAAGCGGGCGATGCGGCGAAATTATCAGAACCTGCTGCAACGTGCCGCGTTTACGGGCGTTCATGCTCTAGCTGCTAGAATCATGCTAGAAGCAACTCGCTGGCATGGTGGCATGTTCTGGTCCTGGCCCATGTTCATCTTCTCGTTGCTCCACCGGCGCTGGACGGCATCTACCAGAGCCCAAGGCAGGCACAGCTCCATGCAACGCTCTTGGTTTAGACGCTCCAGGACCGAGGTGTTGGTGACCTCGGGGGCTCAACAGCTTCACTTTCGCTTTTCTCTGTAGCTTCACGAATCTTCACGAAGCGCGACTGCATGGGCATATGCTCGCTTGATTTTTTCTGCAAAGGCTTACGGTTGAGAGTTGAAAGCCCCCTGAAAGAAAGCCCAAATTGCAGACACGGCGGCGCCGCTCTCCACGAGAAGCTTGATCAAACGCTCGGTGTGGTTGGCCAGCTGCAGCGTCACCATGGTGTCAGCCACGAGTTCCATCATCTTCTCCTCGCTCTCTGCTTCCTCTCCGATGCCGAGTCCATAGTCAGAAGCATCCAAGCGCCGTCCCTTGCCCGAAGACTCGGCCAGCGCCTTCTGGTCCAACGCCTGGCCGGACACTGCGTCATTGGGGGACATGCCGTAGAGCTCCCGCGCGGCCTCGATCTTGCGCTGGTGAACCATCTTCATCCGCTGCCCCAGGATGATCATGGAGAATTTCGCCAGCAGGTTCAAGGCCACCCAACCCATTTCGATCGTCAGCTCTGAGTCCACAATGTTGAAACCTTCCGGGCTCAAGGCGAACCAGATTGGGAACGGGAACCAAGTGATAATCAGCAGTAGCGTCAGCCTGCGGTAGTCTGATTCACCGTGAAGCAAAGATTCCTCGCCCTCGCTGTTCTCCGAAACCTGCTGCGCATTGTAGTAGAACATGATTCCGCAGAAGATTGATCCGAAGACAAACCATACATAGCGCAGTGCTCCTTCTGTGAATGTAGCGGCCACACCGGTCAAAAGGACAGATGCCGAGAGCATGGGCATCATGAACCGACGGTATGACGGCACCCGTGCCCCAGCCAACACCACCAGCTTCAGCTGTAGAATGGGACAGGTGAGAATCCACTCGACAGGCCGGGCGAGCTGCAACACGAAGCCTCCTGTGTAGCCCGGGATGTCGAAGTCATCGATGCCTGTCAGCTGCATGATGTTGAAGAAGCCCGAGAAGAGAGCCACAGCGGTGCTCAGGGTGGCACAGACATTGTGCCGCTGTTCCAGTGGCGCCTTCTGGCCAACCGCCACTTTGGCATTGTTTGCGAAGATGAGCCAAATAGCCAAGAGGAGGAACATGGTGCCCTGGGCAATCTGGGCGACGTTGTGCGCGTCGTTCCAGTCCACCGAGTCACAGTTCTCAACTTGCAGGCGCCGGACGTTGTCCATGGAGTCCTGGATCATGGCCATTGCTTCGGAAAGACCTCATTTCGTGGCACGGGGCTCGTGGCTTAACATAGCTCAACTCCTACCAGGTCCTACCACCTTCTCAGCCATCAATCATCAATACCTGAGGAGCCCGCGGCCCTGCTCCATGTCCAATGCCATCCGGACACGAGGGTCGATGCGTTCCATGGCAAAGGGGGCACAAACTGACTTGCAGAGCTACCCTTTACAAACTTTTCGCGTGAGCACACACGGCTTCGCCCCGAATGGAAGGCGTGGGCTCCCATCATGTTGGCATCCTCCCGCAATACATCTGCATCATGCTTGTCACAAACTGGGCTTGGAAAACTTCTGGCCACGGCAAAGGGTTCGGGCTATTCAAGACATTCGGCTCAATCCGGCCGCGCCTTGGGCTCGACAACTGACTGTCCAGCTGCACGAAGTGATGGCACCTCACGTAGCAGAACACCCAAATGCATCTGCTCTACCACGTTTCTTTCGTTACATGAGACCACAGGGCTTGTCTGTAAGATGCACGCAGAGGCGGAGTTCTGCAGCCGTGTGGACTCTGCGCGCATGAAGCCCCAACACTCCTCCTCAGCTAATTGCAGCGATTGCTACACCATCATCATAGACGCCTCTACAAGAGTCAAAGCTCACAAGCAGCAGCAGCAGCAGCAGCAGCAGCAGCAGCAGCAGCAGCAGCAGCAGCAGCAGCAGCAGCAGGAACCGTATGCATTGAAGCCCAACTTGAACAAGAGCGATGGGGCCACGGCACGAGTATTGGTGGCTCAGAGCTGTTCTGACCCTCTGCACAGCTGAGCTGGCAGCCCATTGAACAGCTGCCTTCCTTTCGGTCTGGATCACATGCTGCCAGAGGATGTTGGCCGCATGCCCTGTGGAGAATGGGGTGCTTAATTAACAGGAAACCCTGGGGCTCACACACACGCACACTGCAGGTGTGGGAGCTATGGCAGCTATGGGCTGGCCTACAGGCTGCGGCATTGCAAGGCAACGGAAGGCGACGATGACGATGGACGGACAAATGCTTTTCATGTTTTGACATGTCAGGTCAATCTGCCTTGCTTCTAGCACAGGTGCTCGAACTCCTGCTATACATATGTTGCTTGGACAAGCTGCAAGCTTTGTGGAACCACTCGGCGTGAGCGGCAAGGAATTGTGGACGGCGCACAGGCATTCACGACTGTACATGTTAGTTGTGCAAGTCATCACGCACAGCGCGTGAGTTTACACCTCCGTTGCACAGGCATCTAGGGTCCACGCTGCCAGTAGCCTGCAGGTGCCATGACCTTGCATGCACCAGCGTCTTCCTATGCCCACCTCTCTCTTGTAACGCTTCCCAGGCTACGACATCACGGCCTCACGCTCAGTAAGGGCACAAGCGGTAGCTGCAAAATTTGAAGGATTAACCAAGAAGGAGCTCCGAGGGCTGTGCTGCAAGCCTCCTGCGTACGGGAACATGATACTATTGCTGGATATGAGCGACTGACAAAAACTCCGCCAAAAAACTCGTTGCTTGTGCTAATGCTTTTCAAGCGCTCCCTCTGTACAGGGTTGTGGTATCATCTGGGCTTCATGTCTGAAGGTGTCGCTTTGGAACTTTCAAGGTTATAAAGGCGCGTACCGTGTGGAGTCTGATTGGGTTGCCCTCCGGCTTGAAAACTCCCATCGCTTGGGTGTCGCTATGGGTGTCACTCTGGTGGCATGATGGAGACGGAAACTCAGAAGCCGGTGATGCGCTCCATCAACTGAGGAGTGTGGCTTTTCAAGTGCTCCCGTCGCTGCACAGGGATTTGAGCACACGGGTCCGCCCTTGCTGACTTGAATGCAAGGGGGTGTAGTGGCACTGGCTCGTATGATTTCTGACACCTGCGTCACTCACCCTGGCTGAATTGGATCGCATTGGATCGAATGCTCGCGTTCTTTCATTTGCCTTCGTCATCTTTCATCCTATGTAAGAATGCAAGGTTCGTCCTGATCTCCAGCGTGGCCTCGGGCCAAACAACCAACTCCACGGTCCTGAGCGTTCAAGGAGCTGCAGACAAAGGATCGAAGAGAAGTGCGCACTGTGTGAGTGCAGCGACCGCCGATATTTATGTTTGGGCTCAGTATATCTTGTCATATCGTGCTACTCCACTGGGCAGTTGATTAAGTCTGAGCTCGCAAGTGCAGGATCTCATCCTCGGATCTGAGCCGCCCGCTTCAGAAACATGATAGACACCGGCGGAGGCATGTTGGGACACTCGATGGAGGCATTGCCCCTGAGGTTGGCCAACATATCTGTGAACAGCTGAGGGTCTTGTAAGTCTTGCATATGTTCAACTGCACGCATCAGACACGAATCGAATTGTCGGGCGAATGTGTCGAGGATGGAAACAGCTTCTGAAACGTGCTTCTTTCTTGTGACATGTACCCCCAGATCCGTCCGGGACAGGATGTTATCTGTGCAGCACTACAACTCTCACGGTGGCTGGAACTGCGGTATACTACAGAGGCTTATGATTGAATACCGGTATATACAATATGTGATCTCTGAGGCAATGGCCCGGAATAGTCATGACAAACCTGGACATGAGCCGAGTACAGGGCGCCTGTTCTTGCGTGGTTCAACGCTTTCTGCACATGCTCTGTGCTCCGCGCGCCACCACCCACGGGGACCTGCAACTGAAGTCGGTTGTATTCGCATCGCAAGAGTACCTCTCTCTCGAAAGTGCTACCATGGAACAATGTGGAACAGCTGGGCTCCGGACGCCTAGCTGTCCTTCAGAAGCACCTCGGGTGAAAAATTCGGACTGAGCATGGGATAGGTTGGAAAGCAGAAGAGATGCAGGGGTCGCCCCCGAATTCCGGCCTGCTGGCGCCATCAGGACGTTGTCGCTGTACAGAATGATCTGCAAAAACACATCGGCAAACACACATCAGTTCAACAAGAAGCCTCCACTTCCAGAGCCTCAAGCCGAACAAAAACACATGCTTCAAGCAGGCACTCTTTCAGACCTATCACTGCAAGGGACCTCCTGCTTCTCGCGGTCCAGAACGAACCGGAGGCTGCGCAACTGCAAAGCAAGGTGGTGGGAACGGCTCCGAATCACTGCCCGGTGGCGTCAGTAGCTTTAGTGGTCGAGCCTGCCCAGGAAAGGCTGCGCCGGAAGGCCCCAACCTGTGAGGTTACCGACAATCGGTCTGTGTCGCTTCCGCTCTCTGAAGGCAACACTTACAAGTAGAACTGGGTCAACACAGGAACAGAAGCCTTCCTTCCGAAAGGCCAGAGTCGAGACACCCAAGGCAATATTCCTCCTCTCATCTTGAACAACGGTGAACCCACTAAACATGGGCAGACGACAATCAAGCTAATCTTTCTTGATACCTCCAGCACCCAATTCTGAACCAACTCGGTTTGGTCACCATACTCTTGCGACGGCACCCCTCTCAATTCTGCAACTTCCTCCACCTCCATTCTGGCCCCATCCTGCCAAAACCCCCACCTGACAGCAGGTGCATCCGCGCGGGCCCACGGCCTGAGCTTTGTCGCAGGTATCGGAGGTATTGGGGCACCTGAGGTTTCCATTCATCGCTTTTTCAAGCCAGTTGAAGGCGAAAGAGGGGCCAAGGCTTTCTGATCAACATGTGATTCAAAATGTATCGAAGAGGCCAAGATTCTACTGTGCACTGCCGGGCATCTGTCTTAACCTTTTTCACTTCAGCAGACACACGATGTTTTTGCATCATGGATGGGCCAGGCTGAGTTCTGGGATGTAAAGGCTGAGGCGGCTGATCTCCTGTGCAACCGGTTGTACCTGCACCAAGTCACTGGAGGTCTCGCCATCGTGCAACGCAACATGTGGCGCACTCCACCGCCCTCCTTCCGCCTGAGTGTCTGCCAGAGAGGCATGCGGTCTTGTTTTCAAGACACGGGGATGCAACGCTGAGCGGCGCACACGGAAGGTCTGCCTGCAGCTGTCCAGTTCTATGGCCTGGGATGCAGGAAGCCAAAATTGCGGCATCATGAACTGTGAGCACTCTGGTGTTGCTACAGCTACCACAAACACTACACCAACCCAACACAATCATAACCGCCCTCATCGTCATCAGCAGCAGCAGCAGCAGCACACCATCCTCCACCATACCAAGCAGCAACAACAGCTGCTCCAACGCCGGCTGCGCCAGTAGGCAGACCCCCAGGACCTGGCGCTTCTGTGAGGTCTCTCAACATGTTGTCCCTCCCTGGGCAGCCTAAAGACTAACCACAAGGAACTCTTAAGGGACCGTATCATAGCAGGGCACACCATTTTTGATCTCATGGAGACGGTGCCGGAAGAGACCGAGCATACCCAAGGTCGAACCCCCCGCCGCTCCCGAAAACCCAGGCTCAAACACGCTTAAAAAACAAGTGCCTATACTGAGAGCGCCACCAACACTTTAACCTAGTCGCACTTTTGGCAAGCACTCTCCTGGAAGAGACATGTTTCTTTCGTTGAAACTGGCCTCCGGAGTGGAGTAAGTCAATGTGGATCTCCGTCGACATCTGAGAATTGCCAGGCAAGTGCTAGGCAAGGTGGGCAAGACCGATTGCATCTTCCATTCAACCATGAAAACGTTGTGGGAATCACTGCGTCAGCTACATCCGCTTGCACGACTCTCATAGCTGTTCCAGCCTCGAGGTAATGCGAGATATGCCATTGTCTGCCAGAAACCCCAGCCAAGGCATAGCAGGTCCTCATCTGCACGAAAGGCACAGTGAAGTCCAATGAATTCATGCGAAGATTAAGTCTCCGACAGACGACGCCCATAATCGGACACCTATGAAATGATGCATGCTTTGCTGCGCTTGCCAACTTTGCGGTTCAACTTAGGCTCCGACGCAGTCTTGTGCCTGACTCCCAATTACTTCACTGTCGTCCAACTGCCTCCATGTGCTGATGCATGTGGGACATTTGCTACAGTTGAAAACGCCCCGCAACGTGGAGCGGATGCCAGAAGCACGACATGAAAAAAACCCATGTCCATCTTCCTGGCATACCCGTATACCCAAGCCCGAGGATGGTCTCTGAAGCCAAGCCTGTAGATACCTAGATACGACTTCCATTGCTTCGCAATACAGCTTTAGTTCTGCTAGCGGCTGCTAGCGCTTGTACCGGCTGTTCATCGGTTTGTAGTACAAGCTGAGT